ATAACAACAACAACAACATGAAACTTGAACAGATAGAGGGGAGAAACATCAACAAACTAAACTTGTTGACGTCAAGTCAGTTCTAACTCATAGCAACTCTATAGGACAGAGTAGAACTGCATCATAGAATTTCTCCGGCTATAATCTATAGTCTTTAAGGAAGCAGACTGCCTCATCCTTCTCCTGCAGAGCAGCTAGTGGGTTCAAACCACCAACATTTCTATTAGCAACCAAGCACTTAACCACTTTGCCACCAGGTTATCACATTATTATGGGACTCTGGATAGTACTATTTAATTTTTTTAAGTCTTATTTTCATTTTTTAACTAAATTTATATAAAGAAATTTTAAGATAACTACTTATAAAATTATGGATGTTAGGAGGAATCTGGAGATCATATAGGTTCCCCTTTTCATCTTATAAATGAAGTACTCCTACACTTGGAGCACTTAAGTAGTTTATTAGTAAGTTGCACAATAAAGACAAGACCCTGGGTTGTATGTTTCACATTTATTGTCATTTTATACATGCTATATTCATTTCTTTTACCAAAGAAAATAGTTATAGCCATTGGGGAAGACCGAGACCACTGGGGAAGAATAAGGACTGTAACTAGGGAATTTTTTGATGCAAGACACATTGAGTATCCTCTCCACTCTTCTCCATTTTGAAAATCTGCTAAAACGATGGTTATCAGAATTTTTAAAATAATATAGGCACACAGCAAAATAGACAATTGAAGAGATTTCACTATAATTTTGCAAGACAGAAGACAGAAGAGTTTGAAATCCACCCAGTAGAACAGAGGAAAGCTGTCAACTAGGATGTATGAGTAGCAGCCCGCAGCAGTGAGTTATGTGCACACATGTCCATGTTGGTGGGGGTTAGAAATGGGACTCAAATAGGTTTTGTTGGAAGTTTGTGTATTGAACAGTTGACCCCAATCCCACTCTCCCTCTCCTGAAATGAGAAGGCTTGATTGAAAATTTATTTTTAAAAATTAAGCTATCTGGGAGAACTAGCAAGCTAGTGTGGATCTCTGCCCCCTAGAAAAGAGCTTCTGGGGATAGCCCATTCTTTGGGGCTGTCCACTTCTGCACACATGAAAGAGACTGTCATCTGGCATGATTCACCCCCATAGACTGGCGCTTTCAGTGAGCCGTCTGCTGTCTCATTGTTAATAGATAATAACAACCATGGTTCACTTGATAGTACATGATAGGAAAAACAAAGATAAAAACATCCTGGTAGAACCAGAGATAATTTATGAACGTGAAATACTTTAGGAAAAACCCCCAATTAGTATCCTCAGAGAGATTTTAAAAAAGACAGTACCTATAATATAAGAATAGGCTGTATTTAAAAAGGAATAATTAAGAATAAAAGTCTCTTGAAAAATAAAATATAGTTGCTAAAATAAATACAGTTGGAGTTAGAGAAATTTCTCAGTATACAGAATAGAAAACCAGAAATGGAAAATATGAGTAAAGGCAGTCCAGTCTCTCGCTATTAGAGATTTCATAGAGGACAGGAAAAAGTGGAGGGAAGGGAATTATAAAGTTAAAGCAAAAAAAGTTCTCATAGTTGTCAGTAACATGAAGCCTCAAATTCAAAAGGGCTCTCCGTCTATTGGGTGTCTCTGGGTGGTACAAAAGGTTAAATGCTCAGCTGGTCACCAAAAGGTTGGCAATTTGAATTTACCAAGAGGTGTCTCAGAAGGAAGGCCTGGTGATCTGCCTCCGAAAGGTCACAGCCACTGAAACTCTTTAGGAGCACTGTTCTGTTCTGACACATTTGGGGTCACCATGAGTCAGAATCAACTGGATGGCACCTGGTTTTTTGTTTTGCCTACATACTGAGCAAGATGAATGAAAAAAGATGCATAGAACTAGACACACTTCATTGTAAAATTTCAAAATGGCAAGAAAAATTACAAAAATTTCAGAAAGAAAAAAAGCTGGTCACTTATAGAAGAATAAAAATCAGATTTCATCAGATTCTTCATAAGCTGTCTTGGATCCTGGAAGACACTGGAAAGGTACCTTTAAAGTTTTGAACTTTCAGCCTAGAGTTTCATATCTGGCCAGTTATAAGTGGGGGCTAAATACTATATTTTGTGCATAAATTTGAAAATTCTGCCTCTTTTGGAAAGCTAGGTATCTTGGAGCCTAAAGTTCATTTGCTTTGATTTAAAATTCCTTTTTTAATTGATTTATTCTAAGGAAATTATTTTAAATATGGGGAAAATACCTTCGTACAGAAGAGTAGTTTTTAAATCATGTTTATAATATTGAAAAGTTGGAAATAATCTTAATGCTTAGCCATAAAAGATTAATAAGTAAACCAGTAACCCACTCAGTGGATTATTGTGTAGTCCACTAAGAAAGTCAAGGTTATTAGTCCTCTGATAATATGAGAAATGGTTGATTGAATGTTAAATGGAAAAAGTTGTACCTAAAATTGGATATACAGTATCATGACGGCAGTGTTCCAGAACTAGCTAGCGCTTAGAAGGGAGGTTGAAGCAGACAACAAGAAGGAAAATTACTCCAAACCTTCTTTTTATTGTATTTAGTTCATGAATATCAAGTGAATTTACTTTTTAATTTTTGAGCTCCATGCTTCCTTTAAGGAGCATGAATTATTTTGTAATGAGAGGGAATGCATTTTCATAAAAATTTAACATTATGTTCTAACTCTTTCCACTAGAGGGAGAAAGTATTTCATGTAATTGCATGTGGATGTGCTGTTTAGAAACCTCAAGAATGGAGTGTTTTAGTTTCCTTTCTGCAGTTGTGGTGAGGGATTTTTTGGTTTGTTTGTTCAGAATACCTATGAAACAAATTTCAGACAATAAAACCATTATATGAATAGTAAGTAGAGGGATTTTGAACTTTTTTTTTTTTTACCATTTTTCCTGCAACTACATGGCTGGCTTTAACTGGTTATTAGTTGCCGTCAAATAGATTCCAACTCATTGTGACTCCTTGTGTGCAGAATAGAACCATTTCATAGGGTTCTCAAAGCTGTGAGCTTTCAAAAGCAGATTGCCAGGTCAGATGCAGATGGCACTTCTGGATGGGTTCAAATAGCCAACCTTTTGGCTAGTATTCAAGTGCTTGACTGTGCTGCATAGGAACTATTAAAGAATATGAAATTACTAGTGTACTCATTGTTTTTTCAAACTTCGTTTCACCTAGTTTGGTCATGTCAGAAGGGACCAGTCCCTAGAGAAGGATATCATGCATGGTAAAGTAGATTGGTCAGTGAAAAAAAGCAAGACCTTCAACAAGATTGATTGACATAGTGGCTGCAACCATGGGCTCAAGTATAACAATGATTGTGAGGAATGCATAGGACCATGACTACTTTACTAAAAATAAGGAAGTGGTTATGGCTAGCTACTTAAGAATTAAATTATGCAGAAACTTGTTTGTTTGAAGTCAATCCTGAGGTGGTTTTTTTTTTCCTTTTGTCCTTACTGATTAAATCCAAAAGATCTTACAGATTGCTTGAGCATATTATGTAGTATTATCCCCAATAAAATGGTGATACCTATTTTACAAGGGCTTTATGAGAATTACAAAGGAGCTCTGGTGGCACAGTGCCTAAAGCATTTGGCTACTAACCAGAAGGTTGACAATTCAAACCCACCAGCTGCTCTGAGGAAGGTGGGGCAATCTACTTCAACAAAGATTTATCGCCTTGGAAACCCATTTGGGGGTCATTATGAGTTGGAATCGACTTGATGGCAGTGAGTTTAGTTTTGATTTTATGAGAATTACATGTCATACTGTCTGTAACTCACTTAGCATAATCCCAACTTATATTAATCCTTAAATGGTAGCAGTTATCATTAGCAACTGTTATATGAAAATTGATTACAGCTAAAGCTTAACAATCTTCTTATAGGAAAAATAGTACTTGAAAGCAGTATAGAATATAGAATGAAAAGTGCTAAGTTTTTAAGAACTGAAGTGAGTTTTTAAGAAGTGAGAGTATGTTGGAGAGAAGACTTTAATAGAGGGAAGCATCTGGAAAGTAGAACAGAATTAACAAAATCATATAGGAATCTTGGTTTGACCAGAGCTGAGTTCTTACAGTGGGAGGTAAAGAGGCATAGGTTAGGCCAGGTAACTTTAATTTGAAACTCTTTGTTAAATGATTATTCAAAAGCCTTTAAAATATTTAAGTATATCTTCCTGTTTAGTAAGTATAGGTGTTCTGTTCCATTTATCATTGTTTGATAAACTACCCCAAAACAGTGACTTGAAACAATAACAATCATTTATTTCGCTCATGAACCTAGAGATTGAAATAGTACATTAATTTTTTATTACCAAAAACTTAGTAGCTTTAAACAACCACCATTCATTGGCTCATCGTTCTTTGTATAGGTTAGAAGGAAAGGTGAGGTGAAGTTCTGTACTCAGAGTATCTCAGTGACATCAGTGGTCAGCTAGGTTGCATAATTATCTGGAGGCTCTGGGGAAGAATCCACTTCATGGCTCATTCAGGTTGTTGGCACAGTACAGTTCCTTTCACTTGTTGGACTGAGGTCCCTGTTTCCATGCCTGCTATCAGGTGAGGGCCACTCAGCTCCTGGAGGCCTCCCCCCTGCATTCTTTGCTATGTGGCCTGCAGTATCATACTTGACTTCTTCAAGACAGCAACAGAGACTTTCCCTCGTGTCAAATTCTTCTTGTACTTCATATCCCCTCATAAAACTCTTTCTACTTCAAATCTCCTTATAGAGCCCCCCCCAAAAAAAGGGAAAGAATTTTGTTTTTGGTCTTTATTTTCTATTTCTGACTTACTAACTATATCATATGTATATGCCTTTTATAGTGAGCTGCTTGAAATCTTTTTTGGAAAGAGTAAGATTTAAATAAATCTGTAAAGAGCTAATTTGCTGTATTTTAGTAATGACTTTTACTAGCATGGTATAGTATTAAAAGTAGTGCACTAGAATCTTGATAACTGAGTTCACTTCTGGCTCAGCTACTAAATAGTTGGTGAAATCTGTAGCTGGAAGTTCTTTCAGGGATCGTATTATAAATTAATTATACTTACTCTATTTCTTTAAACTAGGAAAAACTGGAGGAGTGCCTGAAGCAGTTAAAGGAGGAGAGAGTAATAAGGCTTAAGGCTGATAAACGAGTAAATGAGGTAAACAAAAGTCTTTTTTCTTGTACTTTTGTTTTGATTTGATTTAAGCCATACCCATATACACAGATTTTGTGAACTTGAAAGTGGGAAAGTATAGGGTATTGCAAACTGGTTCCACCATACAAACCTTTGCATTTAATTATATTTAGTAGTCATACGATATGTATTCCAAAAAGCATGTTGTTACAGACATAAAAACATTTAGAAGGTTTTTTCTATGCCTTTATATGATTTCAGCTTATTTCTGTTCATGATGCTTTCTTTAATTCAAGAAAGCACTTATTTATGAGTAGGAAAAGTTTGAGAAATAAAAACAAATAGTCCAAACCATCAAAAAAGAAAAAGAAGAAAGTACTTACAAGGCTTAGATTGTAGTGCAATAATGTAAAAGGCATGATAAGGCTCTCTAATGACAGTGAATTAGAAAAATGAATTATTTAAGTAAGTGTAAGTGGAAAACTTCTAAGAATGCAATGACAGATAACAGACTATGAGTATTAAGTAGCACATAAACAAGCTATGAGTATTAAACAACACATAAACTTTAAGTTCTATGTAGATAAAATTTATTATTACAAGGTGAGTTTGGGAAAGAATTTTTTTAAAGGAACCTGGATTGGATTGGCAGACATGCACTCATTTAATAAATATTGAGCACCTGTTTGTGTAAGACAAAAGGTGTATCGTGAACAAAATGGCCTTTCTGACAAGTAGTAAAGTTGGACTTTTAAGTGGTATTAAATAAAAAGATGATGTGAGGCCAGCAAAGTAAATGTTTTTAAGAAGCAAAAGTGGTTGTCATGAGACCAGAAAAACTGGATGGTGCCCAGCTACCATTACTACACATTTTGATGGAAGAGTCCATAGAAAAATCCTGATCTAACAGGGAAAATACAGAACAAAATTTCAAATCATTATGGATTTCAGACTTGCTATAGCCATGGAGACTGGATAAACTCCTGAAACTATTTTCCTGAAATAATCTTTAGACCTTAAACCAAAATTATCATCTGAAATCTCCTTGAAACCA